CACAGCACCTCCACCAGGACAGGCGGACATCAGCGTCCCACTGGGACCTGGTGCCTGCACGGGAAAGGCCAGCTTTGCACCAGGTTCTGGGTCTCTTGCTGATCATCTTTAGCTAAAAACCTCATCAGGAGGACCGCATCTGGGCCACCTCCTTCTCCGCAGGCAGGAGAGCCGGGTCTGCCCTTCCAAAAAAGGACCTCCTCCTCGTGGGAAGGAAAAGCAGAAGCAAGGTTACAGCAAAGACAAAGGGGGTGGTTCTGGCCTGGGGATCGATCTACAATCCACCATAAAAAAAAAACAGCTTGAAACAAAACCCATCATTTACTCTTACTTTTGTACAAAATAACAATAATAACAATAAAAATAATAATAAAAGGTGCTGGTGGCCCCTGGCTTGCAGTGCCCCACTGTGGTGGGGGGTCTCAGTAGGCAAAGATGACATGGTAGGTAACTTGGTGCCCATTGTCCCAGGCGTAGAGCAGGCGGTCCTTGGGGTTATAGTCTATCTGCGTGGTGTAGGCGTACTCATTCTCAAAGAGCAGCCGGGGGATGATCTGCGTGTTGGTGTGCGTGTCAAAGGCGTAGGAGATGTTGGCGTTCCTCTTGTTGTAGCTGTCAACCGCGTACAGGACCCCGCAGATGACAAAGCAGTTCCCGTAGAAGTTCTTCCGCAGCCCTGTCCGCCACGTGGTCTCCTTCTGGGTGCTGAGGTCGGCCGCGTTCAGCTTGCTCAGCACGATCACCTCTTGGTTGAAGCCTTCGTAGCTGATGGCTGGGTAGATGACCCACAGGCCGTTCTCATCCACGGCAAAGTCCACATCCGAGTGGCCCCGCCACCGACACGGGGTGGACTCCTCGTAGGCCACGTCGTGCAGCATGGCCCACGCGGCCACATACCGCTGCTTCAGGTCGTATTTGATGATGTTGCGCGTGAAGGCCCGGTTGTAGTAGAAGGAGCCATTGTAGACAACGTGCCCTGTCCCGATCCAGCTGTACGGGAGCTTGTAGGAATTGCTCCAGCGCCCTGTGGGGCAGAGACACCTTGCTGGCAAGACTCTACCTTTTACTTTAGGGTTGGCGGCCCTGCTGCAGCAGCCCCCAGCACCCTCTGCCCCCCACCCTGCCTGCACTCCCTCCCGGCCACCAGCCACAGCCTGGAGTGGCGACAAGAAAGTCCAGAGCCACCACAGGCAGACCGACCTGCCCCGTGCTCTGAACCCCACACGCCAGGTACCAGTGCCCAAGAGGGAAGGGTCCCCGGGCAGAGCATCCCCCCATGGTGCAGCATCCCAGGGAACGGGGACGCTACTTGGACCAGCCGGCCACCGCTCAGCGCAGCACTGAGGATGGCGCAAGCCCACCTTGCTTGAAGTTGTCGAGGTTCCTGAACTCCACCAGTGTGTTCCCGTAGTAGTAGTTGGTGACGTAGATCCGCTCCTCCCGGGCCAGGGGGTCCTTCATCCAGGCCCCCTCGTTGCGCCCGTAGGTGTTCTGGGTGGTGGGCCCCGAGATGGTGGACAGCGTGTCCTTGCAGCGCCCTGCATGGGCGGAGAGAGGCTCGCGAGGCCTGAGGCAGGGCGGCCACGCTCTCCCCACTCCTGCTGGGGGGTCTGCGTGCATCGCCTGCCCTCCAGCTCCCTGCCCACCCAGCAGGTACGCCTGCTGCCTCGGCCTGGGCTCAGCCTCACAAGGCCCAGCAGCGCCAGCCGGATCCTGCAAAGAGCTCCCCATGGCCTCGGCCATGTCCCTGCCCTGACTGAGACCTGTCCCAGGTCCATCTCCGGGGAGGTCTCTTCCTGCCCTGCCCACCCCAGCCCTGCAAACTGGAAGGTGACTACAGTAGGTTCCAGAGTTAACAAGCAAGTAAAATCTGGTGCCCCAGTAAAGCGCTTGTCCAGCCATCATCTCCATGACACCTCC